TATCTATCTATCTATCTATCTATCTATCTATCTATCTATCTATCTATATCTATATATATCTATATATATACACACACACACACAGTATATCATTATTTTAAGAGGATAACTTCAATGTACACATAGAATTTTTCACAGCCTTTGATGTATTTTATTGATGTGGTCTTATATAAAATGTAATATGCTGAAATATCATAAAGAAAAGACTTATCTGAGTCAATCTTATTGCATATTTGATCACTTTCCGTGTTCTGGCCAATTTAGGAGAGCCTGTGTCTTGATGGAGACATCTTTGGTTAGATTTCATTTGTATCTCATATGATCATTGGGAAAGTAGCTATTACACTTAATATAAATTAATATTTAGTATTACTCAATGAAAACAGTATTCATTTCATGAAAGCTGGGCTCTCCAAGGCTGCTTTGTAATGGAAATACTAGTGTGAGGGAATACACAGGATGACTCGAATATGTTGACTCCACAATAACATCCGTTTACACTTTTCAGATCAATTCTGCTCTATTCTCTGCTGTCCATCCGTGTTTTCAGTATGCCCCAAACCAAAATATGCTTCAGTCTCCTTTTAGTTGGACTAACAATAGACAACCTCTGAGTCTTTACTTATTAATGTTTTCTGATGCTGTTAAAGCTTTGTTTACATCAGCATATATTCTCAGTTATGATCATTTGAGAAACACACAATTCTTTTTAATTATGCACATAATTTGTATATGACAAAATAATTTAGGATTAAGCTTGTAAACAGCTTCTATGATATTCTGTCCGAGCTCACTAATTGCTTTAGATGGGATGTTGCTGACCAATGAAGGAGAAGAGGTGGGCATTGTCAAGCCAATGGCACGAGTCAGCTCACAGGCGCAAAGGATTCAAATGAAAGCTATGCATTCAGCCATATGTTGGCAAAACTGTGCATGTTTGGAACACAGGGAGCATATTATGGACATTATGCTGCAGAAGTGGTTTAAGAAGTTTCTCTGGACTTTTGGTGTTTTTTCCCACCAGGGAAAACTAACAATTCTCAAGTCTGCAGGTGATGAGTCTGATAATAAAGGGATACGTTTTGGGTCAAATATAACTTGAAGGAAAGTATTCTTTTACTCTTCTGTGAATAGTAATGACTGAATATTCTTGCTGTTAGATGATGCACAGCTCAGTTAACTTCTAAAAGTAATATTCCCAGATTGTGTGTGTGTGTGTGTGGAAGTAGTTTGTGATAGATGTCCTGCCTCTCGGTAATTCTGTAATCTCCAAAGCCTCTGACCTGTCAAACTGCATCACTGAGCAGATCTGTTTGTTTCTGCTATCTCAACTCTCAGCTTGTCAGAAGTAGCCCCTTCCTTCCCCGGGTCGCCTCCACGCTGAGGCAGAAGATGGCCTCCTTCCAGAGCCTGATGGATGTGGAAGAGAGTGAGGTCTGTGATCCAATGCCAAGGCAGGACAGCAACACTGGAGGATGCATCAAGACAAGAGATTATCTGTCTGGTGAGGCTGCCTCATTGCCACAGGATTAATAGTTTCATTTCTCAACAAGGGTCCATGCCAGGAAGACTCCTTTATGATGTCTGGAGGCACTGTTGAAAAGCGGTGGATTAATGTATAGCACAGTATAAGTTTTACTCTGACAACATATTTTCTTTTGAGCTTGGTCAGCTTCTTAAATGGGCCAGTTTCTGAGCTGTATGTTGCTGTAGTGAGAGTTTATCTCCATCCCTTTGATCAAGTTTTTATTTATTTTTTTCAAAGTTGTTTTTCCAAGCAGTGCTTTTACGATATGTCTATTTGATATGGGATCTTTTATCTTCATTTAGCTGAGGTGTCCCAAAGTCCCATTTGTTTTTGTATGTTTATATAACTTGTCTTTTCGATGGGTGCTTTTTTTCCCCCTCTGTCAGATAGGAACCGCCCTTATGGAGGGAAGGAGAACCACCCACCAATGATGACGCCCATACCCAGCAAGAGGAGGCGCATGGGCCCCGTTGAAGGCAGTGAGGTGGAGATTAAAGAGGCCAGCGCTCCTATCCTCCACCTGAGCTTGAAGAAGCAGGAGGTACACTCATTCTGAACATGTACTTACTTGACTGCTTTTAATAATTTAGCTAAAAGGGTTTCCCTCTCTGTACTTGCCTTCCATTGAATCCTCTGATTATTTTTAACTCCTCGATGAATGTTAGAACTCCGTGCTACACGGGGCTTTTTAAATACAAGCATCCAAAAAAAGAGGAAAACTTTCAAGCGAAGCAAGTTTGATTTAAGTGCTGTGCATGGAGGTTTATTTATTTATAATTGCATCTTTTTTTTTTTCTTTTTTTTTTTTACTCAGAGCTTCCACTTGCTTCCTGTAAAGTGCAACATCAAGTTTTATGATACCACTCTCATTCTAAACTACACGAAAACTATGGAGCTATATCAGGTCAAAAGTTTTGCTCATTTGGAAAAAAAACATTTGAACCTGAAAGTTCAAGTTGTGGTCTTGAACATTGAAAAAATACAGCAATGTATTTAAAATAAAAATATGTGAATGAAAAGTTTTTTTGGGTTGAATATAATTTTGATTCAGTTCTGGATTTTTTTTTCATTTTATTTTTTTTCATTTTTCACTTTCATATATATTTTGATATTTGAGTTCTTATGTTTTTCAGTTTCGGATTTTATATTTTCAGATTCAAATCTCTTTTTTTTCGGTTTCAAATCTTTTTTTCACTTTCAGGTCGGTTTTTTTTCAATTCAGACTTTTGACCCTAATCTAACGTGGGGGGCGTGGCATCAACTGAGAGGGGCGTGTAATCATGAGTGACAGCATAACAAAGAAAGCTGAGGACCCTCCTCAACCACGTTGCCTTCAGGTAACGTGGGCACCGCGAGAATTATGATTCAACACTTTCTATACACCATATTCACGTGATTGGAAGTAAAAAAATAAAATACGCTAGTGACAAAGTTCTGTTTAGAAAGCTGTTTTGGTCTCTACTTGGCGCGAATCGTAGTAAAAGAGCAATACACTATGCCATATTGGGCCGTTCAACTACCACACTTTAATATCTGACGTTTCGCACTTCCACACACCACTGTGAACGCAGCGTAGTATCCTTGCGCTGGCGTCTGCGAGAAAGGGTAAGCTCAAAATGTGGCAGCTGCTGCGGGAAGTTGTGCCGCGGCAGTTTAGCCTTTATTTTTCGTTATTTGACAAAATGTGAGAAAGCATTAAGGTCCTTGAAGGTATGACTGTTGGTAATTGTAATCGGTTTAGTAAAAAGAAAATGCCGAATTGTAACAGTATGGCTACTTGTTTTTATTAAACTAAGCTAATACAGGCTAAAATCAGTTAGCACGTGTTGCCCTGGCAACTACACCAGTAGACCAAACTGGGGTGGACCAGCCAGCGTTTCTCAGATTGGAGTGAGACGAGGAGAAAAGGTGATGTAGTGATCTTCGCAATAAAACATATTTGATGTGACGTGTCTAGTCTTGGCCAATCAGCGTTAAGATGTCTACACGTCTTCATTTCCCTCCGTTAAAGTTTAAGTTACGTTATGTTCCGTTACAGTTCAGACTTGCTGGGTTAAGTTAACGTCCACTGCATGCGGAACTTTGTCGACTGTTAACGTTCGTCATTATCGCGATTTAGGAGGGGAAAAAACGTAACGTGATGAAACATGCAGCCCCCCGTGTTCCGTTAAATGTTAAACCGGAACACCGGTGCAGTTGCTCCCAAGGGCCCTGAAGTAATGAGAGAGAGTGTTAAGGTGCCTGTATCTTCATTTCAGCAGCTTGCTAATGCAGAGGTGTGTATAGATTACAGCTATTGTTTTACTCTTGATAAGCTACCTTAGCCAGAGTAGAAAATCATTTTCATTTAAATAATTCAACAGAATTGAATGCATATTAATTGCAAATATAAGATAGGCCACAACTCTAACAGCTTTACAGTAACAGTGGAAGTCCATTAATATTAAGCCATACAGTAACAGGGTTCAATGAAAACGAATCACTTTTTTTATATATACATACATACCTCGGTCTTAATGGATTTTGTCTAAATAAAGTTTAATAACAATATTGATGGGAGAGAAAAAAAGCTACCTAGCCAGCTGTTCAGCTACAGCTGAAATACTAATAACTGAATAATAAATTCGTTTTTTACTTAAAGTAAATATTGTCTTATCACTTAATTTTCTTCTCAGAGTACACCAGAATGCTACATTTTCAAGCTCATATTTAAAATACAATTCTCCCGCCCACCCCCACAGGGTTTCGGGCTTGTCACCTTTTTCACCTGTTATGAGTTTGCAGGTATGTTTCTTAATGCTCAGTATAGCACACTTCCGTCTCAAACATGGTGCCAAGCAGTAACCATATGCATCTCAAATGCAGCCCCATAGCAGGCAATCACAAGGCAGAGCTACAATAATGGGACTGTGACAATCTCCTCCCTCAACAAAGTGTCTCGCCCTCAACGTGTCTGTTCACGCAGGCGACAAGACAGAAGGCACCATTTTTAGAAATGTCATACAATGGCACTTAAAGTTCTCGCTGTGTTTTCCCACTCCAACATTCACGATCGCACTTTCATCTAAGATAAAACCTTTCTTATTCGCTCGTATGCAGCTATATTGGACCTGTATTTGTTGTGTAGAGCTAATGCTAAATATGCATTTCCTGGTCCTTCCCCACATTGAAGGTTTTTAACGGGTGAACCACTTTGATCAGTGCTGACAAACCAATTGGTTTACACAACAACATTTGGACATTGTCAATGCGATTTTGACGGGGGATCAGTTTTACCTACTGTGAGGTTATTAGATGAAACCGATTCTATACACAATAACGTTCACTCGTACTGAACAACCTGCTCTGTGAAGCTCCTTGAACTACAGTCTCGTATAATCCCTCTCAACAGGACGATGTCTTTGAACTCCAAAGCCTCGGCCGACCACCGCCCGATGATTCTGCAGCGGCTTCACCGCCCCGCCCCGCCCCCCCCTTCCACATCCCCTCTCTCCCCTCTCTGTTGGAGATGAAGCCCACAGGTAAACACACGGTACTCTCAGCGGCCGCGCAGGAGTAGCTGACCTTTTATCTCGGATCAAGCCTGCCTTTGAGGCTCGCTGGATGCAGCGTATCCAGGCTGAATACCAGGAGAGTATTAACCTTTTTATTTTCAGAAAAGAAATTGTGTTAATTAACGGCATTTGAGTCGTGTGTGTATTGGAGAACAGCATGTGTGTGTTTTAGCTACAAGGGGAGTGTTAATAGTTCTCATCAAATAGACCAAACATGGGATCAATGTGTAATGTGGGGATCAGCACCCACAACTCACAAGACCTGTACTTGATGAGCAAATTCAATTGTTCCAATATTGATACCACAGACATTACTTTGACCCAGTGAAAACACTTCTTTTCAGTTGTGTAAGAAAGCTGCAACAATTAGGTAGTCCTTTATATCTCAGATACAGTTGAATTATAAATACAGTATATTAATATCTAAATTTGAGTTTAAAAATTCCGGTATGTCATATCTTCTCATATATTAGTTACTGGTTTCTTCTACTATTTGCTTGTCTAACTGGCATATCAGTGTCTGAAAACCTTAATCAATCTCTCTTAAACTTCAAGCACCCAGAACCGTAAATAATTTGGTGATCCGTTTCTTTTGATGTAAAACAGCAAGAGTTTAAAGCAAAGAAACTTTACTTTCTGCCTCTTCGTACATTGTGTAATGAGGGCCACAAAAATGCAAATGATTTGTGCGTTGAAGGGTTGACTGTCTTTGCTGGAGAGGACGACTCCACCGGGACCTCCACGGTGAAGAACAACAAGAAGAAAAAGAGGGTCTGCTTTGGAGGGCCGCTCTCTCCTGAGCTCTTTGATAAGAACCTGCCTCCCAGCACACCGCTACAGAAGGGGGGTACGCCGGCCCGGGCGCCCACACCAGGTGGGAGCTTACAGCCGCGCTCGTTGCTGAAGACGCCGCAGAGAAGTGAATCCCAAACTGCACCGGCACAGCCAGATCTCAGCAGCCCCACTGTGTTTGGTGCCTCGCCGATACTCGCAATGCCTCGCAATCGCAGAATGCCTTCTGAGGGAGAGGATGAAGAAGGATCGGTAATGTTTCTCTGATACCCTGGTGTCTATACTGCTCTCTACATGTCATAAAATAGAAAATAACCCGGGTGTCATAGCACGGTTATAACGGGTCTAATTAACATTATTTATGGTCCTTTTCTATTTAGTGTGTCACAGCCTTCCAGTGAGCAGCATGCACAATACCAGGCCCATAATTACTGTTATTGATTACACCTGTTGACCCTTCAATGACATGTCACAGTGGCTGCTGTGGAAAGGGCCGATCCAAGTCGCTCTCCGCTACAAACATCAAAGACTTTCACAAGCACCTAGATTTATTTGTTTATTAGTACTGACACGTGTATAAGTGTGACACTACAGTTATAGTTTTGTCTTAGTATGCTCTTAGATGATAACTGGATCAAATTGTGAATGAGTGATGTTGTTTAATAATAGTATATTACTTACAGGAACCAGGATATGCCTCACTATGCGTTTGTTACAGTCAACATTGTTTGTATTTTGTTGTCCTAGATTGTTTTCCCTTCAATGGAGGAGATTGACTCTCCGGGGACGAGGAATACAGGTTGATAATTCTAGTTTATTTACCCCGACAGTTCCAGCCTATTGTCTCTGGTAGAATGCAGTCAGACTCTGTAATGATAACGGCTCTTTCCATTTGTTGAATTTTAAGAATGTCTGTGGGAAGCCCAGCCGTTGAATTTAAACGCTGCTTTCTACGAGGAGTCCCTCTCTCAGATTCTGACAGGTGAACTACCGTTTTTCCTTTCATTGCCACTTAACTTTATGTCTTCGTCTCTCCTGTTCTGCACCTTCTCCCGTCTCTACAACACAAATGCAATTTAAGTTTAAGTTAGCTGAAGAAAGCAGGCCAATTGCCGGTGTTTGAGTGTGTAAAAAGGCAAATATGGGACATGTTAATCCACAGTATCAAAGACAGAACAGGACCTTTGTCATTTGGATTCAGCTTTATCAAAGTCCTGTTTAACCAATGTTTAGTCTCTGTTATCATTAACCATGCTAACCCAGCTATTACCTACGGCTGACAAACTCTCAATAGAAGTCATTTCAGCTATAATACTGTCAATTGTCCTCAGAGTCTGAGACCACTGCCCTGGATGAGCCTACAGCCTCGCCAGAGAAGGAGAAGCAACATGATGTGGAAGCTCCAGCCCCATGTAGAGACCGAAGGAAAAAGGTCTGCCCATCGTTATAGCTTTTTTTTTTTTTTTTGTTATGTACTTTCTTGGATAGGTCATTTTGGGTTCACAAGATATAGTTTTACAAGTTTGTTTCCCATTTATTCAGTAACAGTCTGTTCATCACCAGATTATTACCATCCTCTATAGATTCCCGTACTGTGAATAATTCATTTCATACACTAAAACTTCTAAATCTCAGCAGCAGCCAGGTCCCGAGCATGCACCGAGCAGCGAGGCTCCAGCTCGCTCCAGCAGTCGAAAGAGAAAGGTCTGCTATTACCGCCAGCTGTTTTCAGCTTGATTTCACTTGTGCAAAACTCCATTTACCAGACGAGACGTCTTTTTTTAATAATTTCGGGGTCATAACATGCTCCCATTTAATCTACTGTTTAATTCCACTGGATCTGAACTAAATCACATGCGAGGATATCAACTTTATTTTTGCAAGCAAGTGTGGCAGAGAGACGATCATATAATGTATCCTCATGCCAGCTCTGTGCTCCCCCAGCAGCCGGAGGAGAGCCAACCTGTGAAGAGGTCGACGCGCTCCGCTGCCAAGACGGCCTCTGGGAAGATGAAGGTGAGTTGGCGGAGTCTGCTCGTTTGATTTCTCTTTACACGGCTCCACTGAGGGATTCTGGGAGGCAGAAAGAGACTCTGAGCTGATAGCGATCTAACGACGGCTTACTTTGTCTGAGTTGGGAGGAAAACAACTGTGTATGCCCCAGGGTTACTCCTCCAAATGACCTCATGGCACACACCACAGGATTGTAAATAATGACAATTCTATTATGAACTCTTACATTTTAAGACGTTAACAAATAATAATACCAAAGACTTCCCTTATGCCTCAGACACCTTGTTTGAAGGCAGTGTGGATAGCTGAAGCTGCCCTTAGTGTAGCTCACATTGCAACATTTACAGAGCTTGTAGTCTCTTCTGACAGCTTTGTAGTTGTATTTTTATTTTTATACAGGCTCCAAGTCAGGACTGTGTGTGGGTTTTAATTGGATTCTATTCGTCAGGTTCGCCAAATAACTTTCAGTTCTGCAATTTGACTCTGCAGAATGACGTGGGTAGAGATTTAATTAAAGCAGTGTGTAAATACACAGAGATCCACGGTAGAGCACAAGGTGTCGTTTATATTAGATATTATTACCCTCTGAAAATGAAATGCTACATCTCAAAAGGTGTATCTTGATACATAATACATTTGGACAAAATGATGCTGTCTTAGGGAATAGCGGTGAATCTGTCCCAGCTCCTGTAGGAAGGCAATGCTCTAACTAAACTGTATGATTATATGTTTTATTTATGATAATAATTATTATTATTATTATTAGTTCAAATATCCACAGCGTCTGGCATGGCGCCGACTCAATCAGCACACTTCCACAAAAAACATCTAAATTGATGTACTTACTGAGGATGACATAATGAGGTGCTATCACATTTCAGTTTACGCTGACATGTCAATACAAACCTCTTTAACGATGCAGGATTGTCTTTCCACAGAGGAGCTCGGCAGCGCGGCAATGGAACCGGGGCGTGGACCGCTCCCTGTACGGCTGCCGGGCCTACGCCTCCAAGAACCCCGGCCTGAGTCCCATCACGGAGAGGCTGGCCCCCATCGGTCAGTCGGCAGCAAAGCAGACGTCCTGTACGAGCTGCACAGGTACAAAAAGAATGCACATAATAGCTTTATCTTTACGTTATTGATAGGCAATTATGGGTTTTGCTTTTATGCTCTCAGAAACAACTTCCCATATACATTTTTCGATAACGTACAACCCTTCAAAATCTTTGGTTGTGTGTCACAAAATGTCTTATTTATTCTTGAAAATGGCAGAAGTGATCGTTAGAAATGAATTTCCCTGATTGAGTTTTTTATTTTCTTCATTTCACCCTACAGCCCCAAATCACGAGACCCACTCGAACCCTGAGATGGCTAACAACACTCAAGCAACAGGTGACCTCACTGTGACGAACGCTTTGGAAAATCCCGTCACATCTCCAAACTCCAGTAAAAGAAACAGCACAGCGAAGGGCAGGAGGCTGCCGGGGCCGAGAGGACTGAAGAAGAGGAGGAAGGTCAGTGCAGCTAATGATGCCCTGCTCAGTGAGGAGACTCCGGATCAGGCTGGAGGAACGACCGAGGACCAAACCACTACAAACCTTGAGGCATCAAGCGAAACCCCGCTGAACCGCACTGTACCTGAGCAGGGAGAAGTCGACACTGAACATAATGCCCAGATTCCTGCAGATACACTCTGCACAGACTCTGATGGAAAATTAGAATGCCGTGGAAGTCCGGAGGCACCCACCTCAGATTGCCCACCTACAGGTGGAGAATCCAACAAGACTTTGAGTCGGTCAGCACAGAGAAAACGTGACAATGTCTCAGTGCTGCAGCAGAACAAGGAAGAGGAGGAGAAGGAAGAGGGAGACCACGCAGCTATTGAGCAGGAAAACATCAGGTCAAGCTCCGATAGCCAGGAAGAGGTGGAAGTAGCCGATTTACACCTCGCCCCCTGGCAGGCTGACTTTAATTTTGAAGACGTGTTCAAACCCGTTCCCGCTAGAAGGCAGCGCTCAGTACGCCGCAGCCTGAGGAACCAGAGCACTGCGGAGCACAGCAGCAACCGTGCCGGTCTCGCCTGGCTGGCTTGGACCTCCCCCGAGTCCAGTAAGGAGTCCCGCAGGAAGACCCGGGCCCGGCGGCTCAGTGCTGCTCCACCCGTCCAACCTTCGCCCCCCGAGGAGACACAAGACAACGCCTCGTGAGACTTTAAATGGACTACATGAACTAAGATGAATACAGTCATCGTACATTCCTATCCTGTTTGTTTTAGATTAGATGGAATGAGTTTCCAAAGAGCAGACTGGTTGTTTTATATTCGCTAAAAACGTTGATGCCTTTGTTCTCTGTGAATTATTAGAGCTGACCAGTAATTTGTAGCCGGTTTCCCCTCCGCTTACCAAGCCAGTCGATACGCTGTGAGCCCAATCATCTCTGCTGACCACCTGCCAATCGATAGCCAAGCACTCAGCTGGTAATCGCCGTGCATGTTCAGACTCCCCAAAGTCATTGGCTCGAGCATCTCCAAGTCAATATGTGCTCTTCATGGATAGATGAAGATGGCTGTTCTGCATTCACCATCAGCCATGCATGGCTGGGCAGGAGGAAGGGATGATGATAATAATAATAACGGGATAGTAATGGCGGGGAACACACAGAAATCTAATGAATAGGCTCAAACAATTCTGTTTATTTGTGTTTTCTCTTTTTTTATATATATATTTCCCCCCCCAGTGATCTGAACTGTTGACATACAGGTAAATGTCAGAAGAGGACCCTGTCCCATTGCATTATCTGTTCTTTTAATGGGCGCTTTTAATATGTGAATACGTTTTTAAACTGGTTTAAACGTTGCATCAAATCAGAAATAAGTTTGTGTTCTCAGTGACTTTCCTGGAATGTACCTTGCTTTACTCTTATGTTGATTAAATGCCTTGGTTGCAAGTAAAGACTTCTCATCAGATCAAATTGTGTTCATTTAATCAGATGACTTAATCTCATTTGAAAGGAATTCATCCAGATAATAAAACGGCCAATATCTCAGTTGAGTTAAAGTACAGCAGCTTTCCTCTCACATAAACCGGGACCTTCCGCCATAACTGAACGCGTCGCTACACAAATTGCCATCCTGATCTACATTTTGAGCACGGCCAAATGTCTGGAAGTAAATTGACCTCTAACCTCAGCTTCCAGCGGTCACAGATTCAAGTGGGCTCCTCTTTACTGGCTCCATCCATCTGTCAGAGGAGCGGAGGGAGCGCTTACAAATTGAGTTTCAAATTCAGTTCACATTGGAAAATTGGCTCCCGGAATGATGCATGGCTGTAATCTATCCATCACGGGGTAATTGACTCACTCCCTTTTTTTTTTTTTTTTTTTTTTTTTTTTACAAGTCAGAGCCACTTGGCTGAAGGACACCAGAGGTTTCTGGCTCTCATTGTGCCAAAGTCTCCTCTGCTTGCCCATTAGGACACTGATGGACGGGCTTACAGTCACCGCTATAGGTCTGGGTGGATGCCGTGGGGCTGCGGTGCCATCTGCTGGTGGACTCGGGGAGTTGCAGATGCCTGTCTTTCATCTGTCAAGTTCACGACTGTGACCAGATGAAAGAAGTCTCAGGAACTGATGCTATCATCAGGAGAGGAAATCATTTAGCAGATGCACATTCATTAGCGTCAAAGAGGCGTTTGTTCCAATAAGAATCACTTAAGAGTGTGTGTGTGTGTGTGTGTGTGTGTGTGTGTGGGTATGGGTGTGGGGGCAGGCATCATGTGCCCATGTTAGGTCTGTGCCGCGTCCCACCGTCTGATTCTAAAATGTGTAACTGGGGGCGTGTGTGTGTGCGGTGTGAAGCCCTGTCCCATGGCAGACGGGCATAGTGAAGACGGCTTAACACAAGAACAATGGGGTCCTTTGACCAAAACGACGCCCCCCCAAGACATGTGGCCTCCTGTCACCGTGGCAACCCCCCATGGGACAGGGAGCGGGGCTGACAGCTGGAGAGGAGGTCTTACAAAAAAAAAATGGAGTCCATTTCTTTCCACTGAAGCATCCCTGCTCTACATATTTTCCCTCTTCCTCCACTCAGGGCCCTTCATGAATGTGGGCTACATCTCATTTTACAACTTCATGTGATTGACCTTATGGGCTTGACTCGCCACCTACAGCCCATCCAGCTCCTCCACACTGCTGACAGTAAATCCTGTCTTTATGGGCTCTTGTTGCTGCCGGTAGTAAGAGAGAGCATTGATCTCATTGACAAATATGGAGCCCGAGCCAAAAGATTTCACACTCGCTGTAGGCCACACTTAATTTTACGCCTCATTTTAAAACGGATGAGCACTTTCTGTGCAGACACAAAGCAGCATAATCAGTTATTTGTACTCGGCGATTGAGAGACTTTCGTCTTTCAATTAGTTAATTAGCAGCTGAATGGTATTAAGTTGTCTTTTCTGTGCTCGATGCTGTGAGCCCTCCATCATTAATGCTCCGAGGCTCGCTCGCTCGCTAAGCCCTGCACGGCTCTCCTACGGAGCGAAAGACAGCAGGAGGAGGGCGGCTAACAAAGGCAGGACAACAACGAGACCCTCCAGCTACTCTCGGTTTGCTTCTCAGTCTTTCAGTGTGTCTGCGTGCTCCAGCTGTGGCTGGCTCAGACCTGCTTCAAACAGCTGCATCCTGCATTTCTAGTGTTTGATTTTAAAAGTTCTTTGGGGCAGAAATCTGACGTAAACTCACACTTGTGCAATGCTGTTGCTGTTCTGGAACCATTTTAGCCGTCAATCATTTTGTAGTGGGCGAGTCTCTAAATTCCATGCTTTAGTTTTTCATCTACATAAATGATGAAGATTGCCGGTATAGGTGTTTTCTTCTCAGTAGAACAAGGTCATGAATCATTTCCCTGGAGAGTTATCAATCTTACTGCAGCAGCATGAGGACAAGTTTCACATATGAAAAGTCTGATCCTTGGGAGTACTACTCGGCGATGCTGAAGACAACCAGAAAAAAATCAAATCTGGTTCACCAGACCTCTGTTTGAGGCTACATTAGCTGCTGCCACTAGCATATAGCATTACACACATTACGCCCCCAGAATTCCGACCATGCTGTGTGGATGGAGATGGAGCATTGTGGGTGATGTAGAAGGCATATTATTGAAAAGATATCTCTTTTCTTGAGAGCTTTCTGTATTGTCCTATAAGGAGAGCATTCCTGGTGTGTAAGCACCATCAGGTTAGTTTATGTCAGAATGTAAAGTGGCTTTTGTAAAAAATCAAAATGCTGTCAGGTTTTTTTTTGTTGCCTTATCTGTAAACACGTGCAGAGGGAGGCCAGAGAGGGAGAACACTAATAACATCCTGTTTGTGTCAGGAAGCAACAGGATTTATGCTAAATAGGACTTCTGTGTCACAGGTGCTAACAGCACTGTTGGTGTTCTGGCTAACAACACCGCAGATGAAAGAGGCTAACCAATTATCTTGACCACGGTCTGATGCGCTTATGGAAAATTATGTGCATATCAGTGCAACCTGATCAGTTGGACAATGATATGTTACATAACAGTTTGGAAGCAGACACATTCATCAAAAACATCAAATACAGATTCATGCATTCACATGTTGTATTTGAACATATACGTGTAGTGAGGTTGTGTCTAAAAGAACGGTTAGTATTCAGCGTGGTGTGTTTCACAGGGCACAGAGAGCTGCCCACTAACATACCTGTGCAAACCTCCAAACTGTCTGGGCACGTCCAAACTCGAGTCAGTCTTGACTGATACGATGTGGAACACAGTCTTCAGATGAGGAAAGGAGTCTCTGCTTGAACGTCAAATCTCCCGACGTATTTACTCGTACTGGGTAAAAGATGTGATTCATGTTTAGTATCAGTGTTGTAGGAAACATGGGATTTATCACAAAGGTTTGGTGGCATCGCAAAGAAGATGATGAGAGAACTCTAAAGCTCTCATGATAATATGTATGTTTTCTATATTGCTGGGAAACCCCCGACAGAAACATGAAATGAATTATGCTTTTGAGCCGTTTAACACTCTAGTAGTTGCAGACGCCATCTATGATTTAATGCCTGTTTACCGTTCATTCCTTTATTTCTCATTAAAAACAATAAACTGAGGTCACAATAACAAAACATAATGGGAACTTGATACTTCTGCCACACATCCAGAATGTCCTGCTGAGTTAGAGTCTGGTTTTCCTCATGTTCATGTGAGTTTCCATTACATTACCCCAAAACACGCATTCCCTCTGGCCGTGGATGTGAGCTGTCCCTCTTTGTCTGCGTGTGTGTGTTGCGTAACCGTGCGGTGTACTGTTGACCTGTCCAGGGTGTTTTTTCCCTCCCCTCTGAATGTTGCATGCTGGGAAAAGTACCAGTCCCACTCCCTCCCTGTATTCAGTAGACACAGGACACTGCAGGTCTAAATGATAAATGCTCAATGAAATCAAAATCTTTTCCATCTGAGACATTCTAGTCCCGGGCGGAGGAATCAACTGAGCCAACATCATCAACATGGTGTCTCCAGAGAACGGGGGCAGGCTGCCATCGCAACTGGAAAACAAGAACTATTGCTGTTTCTTGAAAGAAATCCCTGAAGGGAGGCTCCATCTTCAACTCTGTGTTCAACTGTGTGAGCATCGAGCTGAAGGGCGCTGCAGGCAGCTGCTGCTCGCTCTGCAAAGGGACCTTGGAGATTGAGCTTGAGAAGAGCTATGAACTAAAGAAAAAAAGATGTTGTTGCACTCATGAACCAGATATTTCCACAAGGACAAACATCAATTTACAAGAATACAAAATAGGACAAATAAAACATATACTAATAATGATTGTGCTGCATATTTTAAGCCATGCTAGTTTGCTATAAAAAAAAAAACACAGCTTGGATGGATTGCTATGACATTTTGTGCAGACATTCAGGGTCCCCCGAGGATGAATCCTGATGACTTTACACTGGTAGCTGAATTGAAGTGAATGAATTAAATTCCATTCACCTGTAGTATATTAAGGTAGAGTGAAACCACAAATGACTATCTTCATGGCTAGATCACGCGGGAGATACGTTAGACAATATGTTTTTTGTAATTGAATCATCTTCACTAATTGACACCCAGTTATGTTAACTGTGTATTCCCCTGTTAATTTAGAAACACCTCATCTCATCAGCTACGAATATGTCAACAATTAAAGATGTAACAGTGACACATTGTACCAAGCACTCTTTTTTTAGAATATTGTACAAAAGCTTTGTGTACAGTACACAAAGCTACCTGACGTCTACCTGCGTTTAGGCTGTTTGGTTCCACAGATTACACAATTCACAGTTATGTAGTAAAATACTTTCTGTGAGTTTATATGTGAATAAGACATAATATGTGACATTTCACTTATAAATACACTTGGCTCACAAAAGAAAGAAAACACTTTTTTTTAAAGAGAGTGTTTGGCCATCATGAGCCTCCAGAGAATCATCAATGGTCCTTGTAATATATTCTCCGCTCTACTCTCCTGGGAGAAACAAATCATTCAAAGAACCTCTGCTCCTGTTGTAATCATGTGCATTCATTTGGTTTCCTCACTTATTTATTCAGGTTTTATTTGTCACCCATCCGTAGATATAGTGTCGATTATCAGAGTGTGACAGTTCCGTATCGCTCTCTCTCAAGACGTTGTTGTGAAAAACAGAAACTAGTGCAGAAGCTGCTATCAAGACAGAATATTAAAACACACTTGTGACAAAGGCGGATTTTATAAGTTTTTTTATGTGACAGAATCATAGAAGTGTTAAAATAATCGCCCGTAAAATGCAACCTGTAGCAGTAATACTTAAAGCTGGGGTAGGCAGTTTATTTTTTGGCGTCGTGGGGCAAGTGGTACGGCAGTTTTCTGGAAAAGGTCCCCCAAAAGAAGCTAGAATTTAAAATA